ATCGAAATGAAAAATGTCTAAATTACAAAAAATCAAAACTGGTTGCAACAGTTCCCAAGTTTTAATTTTATTTGATCTAAATTTCATCCGAAGCACATAAAGGTATATTTTGTTCGTCAGCGCAAAGAGTCAGCTTCTTTTAGCATTATTCTGGAAGTTTTTCACCATGACTTTTCACCTCAAGTCATCTAAAAAAAGACAAATAACACAGCTGACGTCTAACACTACAAACGTCATCCTGCTTTACACCATATTCTTTTTATAATGCACCTTATTCGTTTTTGCTAACGTTCCACAGTGGCCACTTTGGGGCAGACGGACTTACCACTTGTTACAGCCCCACAAATATTCCTTCGTATTTTCTTTTTTACGCAGGACCTAATGGATCTTGGAAGAGCCCTTCTCCTTTGTTTTTACCTACAGGATCCTCACTTCTCTTCTTTCTTGTGTCAGCTTTGTCTGATTCCCTAATATTTATACCAACTGAGTAAATTTACCATCGACATCGTATACTATCTATATTTCCAATAACCTTACCGCCTACGCTGTAAACAAACGGAACTCTTTGACACAATCTATCTGGTAACGTACTGAACGACATCCATTGATGATTTTATCTAGAACCGAGGAAATCGGAGATGGGAGACTTTTTCTTGGTTCGTCATCAGTGTTAATGTCCAAGTTAAGAGGTACAAATTATCAAAATCATCACTTGTCAATTCCGCATCGACTGTGAATCTTCGAATAAGTGTGAAGAACTGCTAAAAAGGTAAATAGATATTCGTTTTTTGTTCGCGTAACTGCGGAATGGGACTATTTGGCGCGGCCGACTTGGCGCGGCCAACTTGGCGCGGCCGACTTGGTGCGAGCCATTTTGGCGCAAAGCCAACTTGGCGCAGGGACATTTTGGCGCAAGCCATCTTGGCGCGAGTACGTCGGTATATAATATAAAAAATATTTCTTGTTCGTACTGTGGTTAGCACCTTGTTATTTATGCCAAATGTAGGCAACCAAATACAAAGTTTCATTCGCACAAATTCCAATAACTAAATGATCCACGGAGCAAGAAGTTCCACATTTAGGAGTATGTTTATAATGGGGTGCAGGGCGCGAAGCGCCCGTGTGTCCATTAAAAAGTCGACATTACCCCTCCACGCGTTGCTGACTATAAAAATTAGGTTATGCTAACAACGGCTGCAATTTTTGTATATTTATATCTATTTTTCTTGGTACGAGTTCATCCGCGCTAAATGGCCCGCGCCAAGATGGCTTGCGCCAAAGTGTCCCTGCGCCAAGTTGGCTTTGCGCCAAAATGTCTCGCGCCAAGTCGGCCGCGCCAAGTTGGCCGCGCCAAGTCGGCCGCGCCGAATTGTCCTAGACCGGCGTAACTGATATCAATTAAAAAAAAGAACTTCTTTCAGTACCATCGTTCCAAGAAGTACCGTCGTTCTTTTCAATCAGCGACAAACTTCCACAAGGTACATTTTCGAAGAGATTTCCCTGGGATGCCGTCACTGTAAATCCTGCCATTTTTATGACAACAAAGTGACCTTCTGGTGTATAAGTTAGAGCACCTGCTAGTCTCTTTCTGCCAAACCGTCAACAAACAGAGTAAAGATAAGTCCTCCAGATCATTATCATTTCAAGCAAATCTCGTTCACATTTGATATTTTTGGACTTCTACAAATATGTGAAACGAGTTTTAGGTACCCAATTCTGTCCATTCTCCAAAAATTCAGTTATTACAATTTATTACGTTGAAGATTAACAGCCATTAACATTATTGCTTATTTCTCAATGTTTTTATTAAATATTCATTAGGAGTATCTTAGATCTGATTTGGAGCTTTTCTTTGGAGTCAAAATTTCTGCTACAGTTTTCACTGGAAGTTGACAGGTAAAATAGTTTTAAGATTTCTGTCCTTTCATCAGCTAGCGAAACTTTCCCGATTATAGGAGCTAGTCTTTCATTTTCTAACTCTCTGCTTCAAGTTCGTTTTTCTTGAAGATGCTTCGGTTCACAAGTTAAAGTACAGTTTTTCTATTACCATTAATAGCACTTTTAGAGGAGCAAATATAAAATAGGTTCTCTTCGTTGATACAGTTACTCTTCCCACTTGGTCTTGCTTTAGTCAATTATTAATTACTTCCCGCATAGATAAGTTTTAAAACGCAATATATCGGTTGTATTTAAGGGTTGCGTTTTATTTGTTGAGTGAGGTGATGATTTTATATTGCCAAGTTGATAAACCGCAAGAATAGAGTCATAATAATTTACATAATTTCAGAGATTTATTCGGAAAAATTTTAAAATGACGTCATCAATTTTTTGGGAAGCGATAAACAAATAAATTTTGATAAACGATTTACCATGTTTCAGAGCATTCGATTTCACAGTTTCAACCTTAAATTATAAAATATTGTTTTGCAGTTTTAATTTTTTTTCCAAAAATCTGGAAGTCTAGGGTGAAAATACGACACAGATTCACACATCACAAGTGCAGGAGTATCTTATTTTATAAATTTAAATAAAAACTTACTACTATAAATTTTGAAGGTGCCGTCATCCACATTATACCCCTATTCGAAGGTCTATTATTTGTTCAACTATACTTTAAGGACGACCGAAGTTCTGTCGAAATAACCTTCGACCTATTTTTCTAATTCTTTTAAATTTGGTCCCCATATTTTAACTTTAGGGTTTCCAAGAAAATTTTGAAAACTGTCCACATCCATACACAAGCTTAATACCGACTTCTCTGAAAGTTGTTCTAGTCGTTTTGTTTCTGAAAGGGTAAAAGGAATTGTGACCAAAACCTTAACACGTTAAGCGCCAAAGCAGACACCGGTGTCCGACCACTGCATTCCGTATGGGACCAAAGCAGTCACCGGTGTCTGCTTCATATTTTCTACTCCTGGGCCACGCAGACTAATAATTCAGCATTATGTAAGGGATATGTGTCTGCCATGGCATGAGCAAACTTGAGCTCACAATTGGTTTGTTGGTTGCATATCTCAGATTAATTTTACAGCGTGTGTCCGCTATATGTGTCTGCTGTGGCCTCTTTTCATAACTCAATTTGTTGATATGTGAAGGGGCCACGGCGGACACCGTTATTCCAAACAAGAGAAAATAGTTATTCTAAATAATGGTTTATTTAAGAAAAAGGGCTAAATATGACAAATCTTGCGAACACGACTTTTGGGGATTTGTCCTTTCGATTTTTTTTCGTAGCATCCTCTGCAGTATTTTCTTCCCTTACGGGAACTGCCAGGAATTTTCTTAAACGCATGTTTCCTTATACGTTTATTCCGTACTCCTTCGGCTTCAAACTCCTCGTCCAAAATTTCTTGAGTACCCAAAAGTTGTTTTACAATAGACTCTCTAAATTGGATAATAGACATAGAATTGCCTGTCGTCAATTTACAAAGGAAATGTGCGTTAACAATTGCTGTTCCCAAAATCACCTCAACTGCTACCTACCGATACCACTTTACAGTTTTGCGTAAACATGATCCGTAACTTGAGAACTGATCTGATAGGTCAATTGACATTTTTCCAGAGTTATAGTCTACAATCATTTTTGGTTTTGTTACTTCTTTGCCCCGTTTTGTAACAGTAATTGTTTCATCGGTGTGTTTGGTCGAAAGCATTAATACATCGCGCTTGTCCTTCCACTTTAAGACAGTTATTCCTCTTGAATTTTCTTCGGCAATTAGTTCTTTTTTTTTTTAGTTTTTTCTGCAAAAACTCACACTACACGCACCACCTCCAAACGCGAAATGATCGATATTGCACCATATGAGATTATTACCTGAACAAGAATCGACGTGTCCGCCGTTAGCAACGTGTCCGCTATTGTGACCGCTGTGGCCTCTTCATTATGTAGAAATGTGTCTGCTCGATTAGACCGCTGTGGCCTGATGAGGTAAATATTGCACAAAATATAATGTAGGGCCAAAGCAGACACCGGTGTCTGTTTTAGTTTTTTCGCAAAATGTGTGTCAAAATTTTCGAGTTTTCAAAAATAACCTATGTAACTATACATAGAATTTCATGTAGAATACGTACCTGTCAATGGCCCTATGACGGTAACTGCATGATTTTGGCTTGGCGCTTAACGTGTTAAGGATAAACAGGGCTTAATGAAAAGTGGCGGATTTATGAACTAGGTTGGAAAGATTGCAATCAAAAACACATATATTGGGCAAACAAAAAAATCAATCATCACCCAGTTCAAACAGCACATGACATACCGCAAATGCGGAAGGACTGATAAAAGTGTTCCTCAACATGTTTTCGAGAATGACGACTGAAACTGTTTGAAATTAGTTAACTCTGTTAATAATGGTAAATTTACAGGGATTCACAAAAAAACGACAATTATTTTGTTTCGTGCACCGAATATTCGAAGAAGATGGCTGGCTTTAAAAGCGTCAGATTCACTTATAAAACAATAAATCCTGGAAAAATGGGAACATTCATCGATAACCTCGTTTGCAGGGGCTGTACTGTACTTAGAAGAGTTAGTACTGAGACGCAAACGCATTTACAATATCCTTAAAACTTTGTACGGTGTTTAAGATTATAATATCAACATGTAGCCAAAATTTAGTTGACCCTCTCGTAATGAAGATGCTCAGGTTGAAGGTATTATTCTGGAAAATAGTATCTATTGTCGGTTTCTCCCTCTGATGTGAATTCTATTTTATGTACACTTTTTACAGCATAGGAGATCATCAACATATTGGTTCCATATCCATTAGTTGGTGTATAAAGAGTGTTTTATTATGTAATATGTTTTATCACTTTCTCTGAAGAACGTTTGAAAGTCATCATGTGGCCCAAACATATGTGACGAATTCACTTTAGCTTCTCAATAAAGTTGACAAAGTTTAGAAAAGCATTATTTAGTTCATAAAAATGTATGGTATCCAGAAACAGAACACCTGTATGCAACACCTAATAAGGTGTTATAGTTACGCACATGACATTCTTACCTTAAAGTAACCTTTGATTACGTAGACAATTCTTCGTCCAAAAGGAAGTCATAACTGACGTTATCAGTCCAATCAGCGGCGGTCAGAAATTCTCCCCATCCAAAAGTACAACATATCTCCTTTCCGGATCATCAAACCCACCTGAAAAATAGGATCCAATTAGACCGTAACCTTTCCGAACAAAGCCGCAACTTTGAATACAATTCCTGAACCATCAGAACTTATCGATACGTAGCGAGAGGGTTAAATTGACTGATTCGAAGCAAGAGAGGTCAGAAATGTGATAGGTTTCAAAGCAGAACGAACAAAGCCGCGTCTTAGAAAAAACGATCGGTAATTAAATCTGACAATCGGAGCAAAAACGTTCTGTGCGTCTAATTTCGCTATAGTGTATACTAACAAATAGTCGATAAAGCTCGTCACAGTCGACTTGTTCTTTTCATCATCGCACAAACTCGCCCTTATTTTATATACCATTCTGTATGTGTTTTGTTGGCATTGGAACTCCCGTCATCGTTTTGCTTTCCGTTTCATATAGCGTCGGAGACCCCGAAGGCAGCTCAACCAGAATCACGTTTCGTTGTTTTTCACGCCATCACAAATTAATGCCTTCGGATAATTCCGTTCGCATCACTCGATCTGTAGCGGAAAATACATTTTTGATGTGCTGCTTCCATCATTAGTGGAGGAAGTTGCGAACAAACTGCAAATAAATCAACTTACTGCAGTCGTCCGTAAAACGAAAATACCGCGACATGTTGCGAAAATTGACCGAGGGATGCTGAACTTGATTCCTTGGACAAATATGTACATTTTGTTAAGAGAGCCATGGCGATGTATAAAAGAACACCGATAACATTAATCATGTAATAATTTTACTTTAGGCTCCTTTTGTTTCATAATTTGTAGCAAGGTTTTCGCTTATTAATTTTTTACCTATAAAAATTAAATGCAAAAATTTGAAACAGCTACACAATTCTTAAAAGAAACTAAATATTTCTAGCATTGCTAAATATGATGACTGGTATGCAAAAAATCCAATTTAAAACATGGACAGTCATGGAAAACAATCGAAGTAAGTTCTGGATTTTGTACAATAATTCTTACCATCAACTAGGAAAACGGTTATGTGTTGTCGAAAGATGTAAAACTTAAGTTTGACATCAAAATTTGTCTTCAAAATTACAAGTGACCAATTTTTAAATTTGCTCAAAATAAAACGGCAGATTAATTATTTAGGGTGGCTCCTTTTATCTACTAGTTGTCCCTGAACATTGTAAATTCTTCAAAATGACAATAACACAAAATTATTAAAAGGTCACAAAACTTTTACTGAACCTTATTAGAAAATAATGACGTCATTATAAGCCAATTATTAAATAAATCGTGCCACTTTTCGAAATAAAAGATCGATATCTTTCAAATTCAAATAACGAGGCGAGCCGTGGTTGCAAAGCAAAATATAACGTGACCTATAACGAGGTATAGTAAAATATACTAGTGTTATTTTTGTGTATTTAAGTGTAATAATTTAAAATCAGTTATATTAAAATCCACTGAAAGTCGAAGCAAAAGTTCTGTGGAATAAATAAACTTCAGTTGATTTGCCTGATGAAAATACTGTCCAGCAAAACACGTCTAGCAATATTCCACCAAAAATGTATTTTGTAACTTAATTTGTACCTAGAATAAATTTTATTGAGTATCTTTGCGATCGCACACTCTAAACTATTTTAAATATACAGGGTGAGTATGATAATAACGGGACCCTGACCAATTTTCAATGCAGCACAACATACATCTATCAGTTGTTGCTAGATTCCAAAATAAACACATACGTTTTTAGGATCAACGTAGGTACTCTCCTTACTAGTTGTCACTGATTCTGAAAGACGCCAATCAAAATTTCCAAATGAAATATAAAAAAAACACCAACATATTAATTCAAAGAAATATAATTAATAAATTAAACAATTAAATACATTTAACTAGTGTAAGTACTGTTCAAAATGCCTTCCTTTCTGCGCAACACACATTTCGATGCGATTTAAGCAAGACAACCGGACGCGGGCAAGTGTTTCAGGAGTTATTGCAGCACATGCATTTCTAATTCTGGTTTTTAAATCTTCACAATTACGAATAGGACTTTGGTAAACTTGTTCTTTTACAACTCCCCAGAGGAAGAAATCTAAAGGTGTTAAGTCGGGACTACGAGGGGGCCACGCATTCACACTGCCTCTGCCAATCCACTTATTTGCAAACATCTCATCAAGATAGTCCCTAACGACTCTGTGACAATGAGATGGTGCCCCGTCCTGCTGAAACCACAGCTCTTGTCGGAGGTTGAGAGGAACATTGTTAAGTTGCCTTCGAAGAAGTATTGGCCAATTACATAATCTGCAATAATACCAGCCCACACGTTTATGGAATAAACATCTTGAAAATGAGGTGTTCTGGTCCAGTGTGGGTTATTTTGGGAGTACTAGTGACAGTTGTGCCGATTAACACCCCGTTATTGCCAAATCTTGCTTCATCGCTGAACAAGACTTTGAATAAAAAATTGTTGCCCAACTCTAGTTGATGTTGCATAAAATTGCAAAATTGTATTCTTCTGGGAAAGTCTTCTTCTGACTGAGATATTCTTACCTGTCGTGCTATAAATCTTTGGCTCACATGCGGGTCATGTCTACGGCTTCAATTACACGAATTTCATTTTCATCAGTAGCGGTAAGTCCTGTATTTCTTGTTTCTTTCGGCCAATTTTGTTTTAACGTTTTTTCCGCATTCTCCAAAAATTAAGATCATATCAACCTTTTCATCGTTCGTGTATTTATCCCTCATCTTATCGCGAAGAGTAAAAACTTATCGGAGCTCAAAATTGACAAATAGAATTATTGCGAAAATCAAAATTAACGAGTATTGGGTAACTATGTACATTTTAGAAAAAGAAAATATTAAAGGAGTTACATATCAGATATGTATTTTGTGTTGCATTGAAATTTGGTCAGGGTCCCGTTATTATATTTAATTATTTATTTTAATTTATTATATTATAATACTCACCCTGTATACACACCACCCCCTTTTTTGCCCAGTTCATCATTTCTGAATATTGTCTAACTGTTCAGAGAAACTAATTCGTCTGGTATTGCGAAAATTAATCAAGTATCCGTGCAAAAAATAATAATAGATTTATTAAGCACAACTACAGCACCAAAATTATCGTACTGTTACGTTGAACGGGTGATTGAAATTTACGTGAAGTAAAACTCAACAATTTATTCCTTAATAACTGGAATTACACTACTAACTATTACAGGGATTATGCACAGAATGTATTCGTTCATTCGACTTGCTGACCGGAATCTGAATTGGCTGAATAATAATCTTTCCCGCAGGTAGACTCTATTTAAATAGCACGCGGTCCTTTTCGAGACGCCTACGTCACCGCTTCTGGACTTCTCCGGAAAACACATTCGCCATTTCCGTTTCCAGGCCTTTCTCTTTAGCGCTCCGCCGGCCGCTGATGAGTCATCTCCGTATATACCAGAACAAAATACACATATACTAAAAGACCCATAGGCGTCGTACCGGGGTGGCGTATGGGTTTCTTTCGTAAGAGTACTTTGTCATTAAAGATCTTATATTTGTGTATACTGCTGAGCTAACATAATAGAGGGAAGACTTCAATGCTCCTGGTTTTAGTAATTTCCATATTCCGGCGTCCTCTAAAACCCAATTTCTCCAAAATTTTTCAAATTCACTGGATGGAACACAGTTTAATAATATCTTAAATGCTTATGGAAACATGCTTGATCTATTATTTTGTAATTTGAAACTGAACCTTGTTGTTGATCATGCTGAATATCCATTTGTCAAGAAGGATGCTTACCACCCTGCTCTATCAATCAATCTTGATTTAGAAACTTATGAAAAAGACTAATCCTTTTCAAATCACATATAATAACCGTTTCAATTTTCGGAAAGCTAACTTTAATATTCTTTATGGTGATCTTCTGCGTTAAGATTGGTCTTTTCTGCAACAACTTAATAATGTGGATCATGCATTGGAGATGTTTTATTTTCATCTTTATGAAATATTTAAAGCCTCAGTTCCGTATTACAAACAACGTAATATTCGGTTTCCTCTGTGTTTTACATATAGAAGCAAATGGCTAGCAAATGGTAATGACTCAATGTGTAATGAATTTAGGCAATTGCGAAGGATGTGTAAATCTCAAATATCACGGGCATATAATTCCTACATGAAAAATGTTGAAGGGTTCATAATATCTAATCCCACTGAAATATTCAACTATATGCATATGAAAAAAGGTACTACAAGGATACCTGGAAAGATGTTTGATGGTATTAAATCCTATGATTCTCCTCAAAAGATTGTTAATGCTTTTGCTTCTATATTTTCTAACACTTATCTTCCTAAAATAGATGTTAGCTACAAGATATTCCGTCAAACCATCTTTGTGTACAGCTACAGCCAGTTACTGAAGATGATTTGCTTAAATACATGGCCCGTTTTCCTGGAGACGGTGAAATACCGAGCTTCATTGTACATGATGTAAGATGTGCACTCGTAAGACCACTCTTGTATATTATTAACTTAGCCATATCATCGTCCACATTTCCTAGTTTATGGAAGAGAGCTCGAATAACTCCTGTTTATAAGAAAGATGATAAGACACAATTAAAAAACTATCGACCGATTGCCATTCTTTGCTTCGCAAAATTATTTGAGCAGGTCATTTATACTTGCATTTTTAATGGTACTCATCGTTATATTTTAACGAATCAACATGGCTTCTTACGTCGGAGATCTATTACAACTAATTTATTAAGCGTTACACAATATATTGCTGAAGAAATGGACAAAAGAGGACAAACAGATGTTATTTATACTGATTTCAGCAGTGCCTTTGACACAGTGGACCACAGTTTATTGTTAAACAAACTTAGTGCTTTCGGTTTTGTTCCTTCTCTTGTGAGGCTTATGGAATCATATCTTTCTAATAGGATTAACTTTGTTTTTTACAATGGCTTTAAATTTAGTGAATACATGTCAACATCCGGGGTCCCACAAGGATCAAACCTGGGCCCCTTGTTATTTGTGTTGTATATTGATGATCTGGTTTCTTCTCTTACTTGCAATGTTCTTGGTTTTGCTGATGATCTGAAAATTTTTGTAGTAAAATTGCAGCAAAACTTAAATAATATAACTTTGTATTGTTC